AATATCTGCACTGACTCACTGAGGCAGGTCAACTGAGTATTAGACTGTTTTCAATTACACAGTTATTAATTCCATTAAACAAAGAAAAATGTAAGCAGTGAAGCATTTGAACTCCTTCTCCCCACTCATTCCCTACCATTTTTAAAAAACAGATCAACTGTGTACAGGGAATCTGCAGCAGATACTCATAGGATAAACCCAGAAAATTCAATGCTCTTGAAATCAGGAAGATTGACTTTCCACTACCATTTTCATTTTTTTTTCTTTTTTGAAAAATTTACAATTGTGTATAATCACAAGTAAACAGTCTACCTTCACCCCCTAACAAAACTCCTACAAGCACACTAACTGACCTCTGGACTAGTACATCAAGAAAACTTTGCCATCTAAATATTTCATCCATGTTCAAAACTGACCTCCTAGCCTCAGAAGCGTTAACCACATCAATGACTTAGCTGCTAAGAGTGAATGCTCCAGTAAACATTTTTCTCAAGGCCTCTGAGAAAGCTGTTAATCCACAAGGCAGTAGGGTTTCTAAGTCAACTTTATAGCTCTATAATCTCACAATAATGTTTCAATCATTAAAGATTTATTAGCTCAAATATAATCCCACCTTCACATGGTATGCAATGTCCCATTAATGCTTATTTTATCTGTTCTGCATAACAACTACAACACAAAGGCATCCAGGCTTGATTAAAGTTATCCCTCTCGCCAACTTCCTGAGCCTGTCAGCCACCTGCACAATGCACAGCACTTTGACAATACCAAAAAGCCTACTTTAAAGCAAAACCCACACAGCTGGTTACGAGCAGGTGTAGACCAACTGAACTAAATCAACTCTGCCTGAAGGAATACATTTCTAAGTGTTTCAAAATGCCAGATCTTGCAAGCAAAATTGACCTTTTCATTTGGCATCATTCTCTTAAAAGAAATGAGAATTTTGAGATGTGCTGCTTAGTTATTTTTAATTCTAAATTTCTATGACTATGGAATAATAAATGGGCTTTCAGAAGTAATAAAAGAATCCCCAGCTGGAATGTTCTCTCAATATTTTATTGACAATTTTTTGCCTCAGTATACACAACATAGCACACACATGTACATTCATATAAATTTCCTTTAGCCAAGATGGTTTCTATACTCAAAGATAGAAAATGGGAATCACAAACTCCCTACTCTAACAAAAGAAGCTTTAAGCGATTTATTTTTCTAGCACAACATTGCAAAATGCCTCTGTAATTTTTCTACACTCTATTTTAAAGCAAACAGTCAACCTTAAATCAGAGAGCATGGAACTATTATCAGAAAAAACTAGTCATCCTGGTCAAGTGGCCATATTTAAATGTTTTGAATAAAAATTGACAGGTCACTTGTCATGCTCCTCTCTTGACAATTCATCATGCTAACTGTAGGCCGCTTCCCTCCATCGATGTCCTTTTCCTTCCTCTTTTCTTTGCCAGTTTAAGTTGTGGCTCCTATTGCAGCATTCACTCAACAAGCCAAGCATTTCCCTTTCCAATACTATTTACACTATTCCCTTTACAAATTAGCCACTTATTAAGAGTCTGATTGTCTATGCCAACCCTAAAACTATAAAGAAGTTGTCACTGACCTTACTTCAACATTTGTTAACTCAGGAAGCGACAGCGTAGTTTGAGTTATTCCTTCACTTACAAAATGGGGATGGAAATGCTCAAAGGGACACTGCACATCTTGATTCACACTTCCATGAGCCCACAAAATAATGCTTCTCTGCCTCCTCTACCCCATCATGTACACAGATATTCAGTTGGCAAGTTATTTTACTTTTTATACTTACATGGTTTGAATGTCAGCAAGTTGTCTCCCATCTTTTTTTCCCAGTAATTCTTCCTTTTCTGTTTAATTATAATATTACTACATCTAGTAACTAAGTATTTTATCTCACCTATGATATAAAGTTATTTTGTTCTGTAATTAGACTGATTTGTATTCTTTAATTCTCTACTGTTTGTTTGGTTTTTTTATGAAAGAAAGGATAAAACAATATATTCTAGTAGGAGTTTGGATCTGATTCTGCCTCAAGGCTGAATAGCCTGTAATTGTGATTTTCCTTAATGAATTTCTAGGAACTTTTAAGAAAGATTGAACTGGGTGCAGTGGTGCACACCTCTAATCACAGAGACTTGGGAAACTGAAGCAAGAGGATACAAGTTCAAGGCCAGCCTCAGCAATTCAGTGAGATGCTCAGTAACCTGAGGAGGAGGGCAGTGGGAAGAGCAGGAGAGGAAAAGAAAGGCAGGCAGGCTGGTTGGACTGAATGTGCCAAGAATGTAAGGTGCTGATTGGCAATCAAAAGTTACTTCATTCGTGTATGTTCTTTTAGGGAAAGGCCTGTGTTCTTGAATTTTTTTTCTAATTTTCCACAACTACACTCAGTGGATGCTCAATAAACATGGTTTACTACTGTAGTCACCTCTTACCCAAGGGGAATATGTCCCAAAATCTCTACTAAGTACCAAACCCTTTGATATATGTACATAATTGTAACAAAGAAATTAGGCACACAGAAAGAAGAATGACATTATGGCATTTGCTGGTAAAAATTAGGCACACAGAAAAAAGAATGACATTATGGCATTTGCTGGTAAATGGATGGAACAGGAGATTATCATGCTATGTAAAATAAGCCAATCCCAAAAAACCAAAGGCAGATGTTCTCTCTAATACACACTGCTAATACATACAGGGGTGGGAGAGGTGCGGATAGAAGTTCATTGGATTAGACAAAGGGGAATGAAGGGAAGGGAAGAGGATGGGAATAGGAAAGATAGTGGAATGGATCAAACATAAATTTCCTATGTTCATACACGAATACACAAGTGTAACTCCACATCATGTACAATCACAAGAATGGGAAGTTATACTCCATGTTTATATAATACATCGAAACACATTCTACTGTCATGTATATCTAAAGAAGAATAAAAATTTTTTAAAAGTTAATAATGACAATATATTTTTATAATAGTTACCTGGCAAACATTCAATAATATCAGCTATTATTATTACATAAATAAAATGACTACATTTAAAACTTGTTGATTTAAGGTTCTACTTGCCCACTATTTTTTAAAGCTTCATTGTTTTACAGTTACATTGTACATACTGGAGAGAAAATAGTGGATAAATAAATGTTTTGTTGCTTAAAAAAAAAAGAAATCAGACACAGTAAGAATGCTAACAATAACCAATAATAAAATAAAACAATTAATATACTATAATAAAAGTTATGTGAATGTGGTCTCTCTCTTCCTTCCCCCACCCTCAAAATATCTTAATGTACTGTACTCACCCTTCTTGTGATTATGTAATATTTAAAGGAAGCACTTCATGGCTTTTCTTTGTCGTCTGAATTTTCCACTTAATATCTTTGGACCACAATTTACCACAGGCAACTACACACCTCCTCCAGCCATGTCCCACTTGTCTACAGTTACCATCTAGTTCATTCAAACTAGGATGGACTGATTAGGTCACAGCTCTCTCAATCCAGTCATTTCACCTCCAAACATTCCTGCACAGGAGCTTTGGGGGGACACGCCATATCCAAACCATAGCACGAGGAAAATGAAATAATGGATAAGGGAGGACGAATGTACTAACCTCCAGTTTCCTCAGGAGACAACTAAGCAACTCACTGCTACACTACAAATTCCGGGGTTTTCTTATTTTAATAAAATACAAAAGCTAAAAACACGAACCTACCCATGATTTCTAATTGTATTTACTATAGATATATCACTGTTATTGATTCTGTGATTTCAAGCACCATGATCATTATGTAATTCCACTAATAAGTAACAGAAACAACCAAATATCCTTTTGCAAACAAAAATCATGGAAATAATTAGAGGAGGTGATGATGCTTTTATAAATGATGGACCAACATTTCAAATGATAAAAATCAACCAAACAATTGAACTACACTTCTATTTTTTTAAAAAAGAAGAAAAAGAAAGAAAAGTCACCCCTGAAAATTACTGTGTACACTGTATATACCAGACATTTTATATCCATGAATCCTTACAATAAGAAAGGTATCATTCCCATTTTAGAGATAAAACCAAAGCTCAAAAATATCCCTCAATTAGCAAGTGTAACCACTGAAACTCAAAGCCAGATCCACCCACCTCTTATCACTACCTTATATCATCTAAGCCACATGGAAACCAAATGACCAACCACCTAACCAGTGGATGGTTAGGTCATCATGTTTCATTAACTGAATGAAATTCTATGCAACTTTTAAAAAGTATAAAGGCAGTTTACAAGATCACTGTGGAATCTTAACATTTCCCTTGACTGAGGGCTTTACATACATTATCTCATTTAATCTTTTCCCAGCAACCATTTGAGGTCAATATTTCTGTTATCTCTATTTCAGAGATGGAGAAGCAGGCTTGAATGTTAATATGACACCACCTGAGAAATGGCAGAGCAGGCAGAGAAAACCAGGTCAACTTGACACCAAACCTCATTCTCAGAAATATTATCTTGTACAACACTACACAGCAGCTGCTTGAATGAGAAGAGGCCCTCCAACAATTAGAACTTCTTCCTTCTGAGCCTGCACTAAAGAAAGGAGACCACAGAAGAGCAATGAAAAGATCAAATAACTACAATTGGCACTTTTGGTCTTTGCTTTGGGGCAAGCAACATCCCATTGGATTCACAAGAGTATTTATTTAAACCAGAATAATTGCATTCATTTTTTCTGTTTACTAAAATGTTTTTTTAATTTTAATAAACTGGGTTTCATCTATGCTTTTTTTCCTACAAATGAATAGGGAATTGTGTTTCCATTGTAACTAGTAATGAAATAGTTAAATCTGGAGGGTACACCCTGGTGGTTATCTCCCTCAACCATCAAAGAGAAAAAGTCACAGTCAGTTACTCCTGTTAGATCCCAGTTCATTAGAACATCTGTAGGCGCATAAGCACCCTCTTTACATCAGCTTCTGCTTACCGCAGGCATAGTAGGCAGTAGTGAATCTTCCTAATACTGCTTTAGCAACAGAGATTCAGAGAGGGGTGAGCAGCCCCTCTGGCCTTCAGGTAGGTCCAATGTTTTCATTTCTCCCCAAGCTAAAAGATGGGAACTGATATTATGGGAAGGCAGGTGCCCTACTTCAGAGTATGGTAACTACAGGTGGATGGGGTGTCTAGATGGGGAAGGAGTAAATTTGGAAAATGTGGGGCTTCCTATTCTCAGGTTGCTATGAGGATTTAACTTCTATGCCTTCAGAGCACATTATTAATCTTAGTGCATAAATGCTTTGCTGGCAGAAGTGTGGGAAGAAAGACCTAATCATGGTTTTACTGCCAGCAAAAATCAAATAATATATGCCTCAAACCTGATTAACCGTGTAAAACAGTTTTAATTTATGCACTAAATACCTGCAGTTACATGGGGTTACTTGCTTTTGGAGCAATCAGGAAACATGGGCCGTACTGAGCAATAAGATTTAATGCTTCAGAGTACACTGTCTTTCTTTGGAAAGAAAAATAAGTTAGTTCAGACACAGGAACTACAAGCCCAGACCTCACACCATTAGTCCTCTTTTGATACTCAACTATGCCCTGCCTTCAAAGTGAATAAATGAAAATCTCCCTGCTGCGGACTGTTAGCATGAGGCTGGGAAGACTGTGTGTGTATTGGCCCTATATTTCTGTCTTTTAAAAAGAATCTTTAATGTGTTGACTTTGAAATTCCCCTCAGTTGAAGAAAAGCCTTTTTTTTTTTTAATCTGCCTGTTTTAGTTTAGTCTATTTAAAGAGAAACCTTTCAGTAGGTTATTTTAGGTCTATTATAATCTTTTAAAAACGCTTTTTAAAAACTAAGATGTAACTAATATACTCATATTGAAACCATGGAAGAGACATAATGGTCTGCTCCACTGAAAACATAAATCAGTAAAGCAAAATCTCAAAAACTATGGCAAAAAAATGTGAAAACACTTTCAATGTTCTTGTTTATTTATTAAATATAGGAATCATCTGATTAAAATGAGTAATCTAAAAATTAAATACACAAATGACATTACAAAAGGAGATAATTCATTATAACAATAAATTTTACCACTTTTTTTAGGGCCCTGAACTAAGCTACAAAAATGGATAATATTCTTTACATCTTACCCAAGAAAATGTTTCTACCTAATCTATAATAATCATGTTTTAACTTATGACAAACCAAAATCCCTGTGAAAACCTCAAGATGAAGTCAATAGGCTACAATGAAAATATTTTTTTAAGCTTGCTGTTTAAAAACAAATGTTCTTTAGGAAATTCCTTTGGTCTGGAATTTATTACCCCTGTATGGCACCACAGATGTTTAAAACAAGCAATCTTTGGCTTTGGGACTCCCTCCACCCAAAATGGGACAACTCTGAGAATAATAATTCATGCCATGTATAAGTACCTACAGTTTTCGTTTAATGAATTGAGGGTCAATAACATTTCTTTTAGCTTCCTTTAAGTTCCTTTAATTCCCTTTAATTTCTTAGATGCTTTCTTTCATGTATATGTGGATAAGCTATGAATAAATAAAACAGTTTCCTAGGTTATTTCATAAGCAGGGGAAGTTGCTGAATCTGCAAATCCACATGGTCCTCAGACCGCAGAGGCTTGCTTTTATAGCTTTGGAACTACTCCTTCTCAGGCCCCATTTCCAAAGTTGGTTTAATAACCCAAAATATTATTGTTAAAAGATCACACCTTAAGAGATACCCAAAATAAACTAAAAATCCTAAAGTACATGAGAATGTTCAGCAATTAATGACATCTGATCTACAGAAGTGCTTAAGGCAAAAACAAAAAATTTTGTATTAAAAACACCATCTCATTAGAGTGACCATGGATACTAGATGGCCCAAGGAACATTTACAAGGAGAATAAAAATAAAACAGTCTTTCATATGTGTATCCATGGATGTGGCACAGTGGATCCTGGCATCAGAGATATCCACAGGATATTAATTTTTTTTAAAAAGTAAACTGTAAATGGATTGAAGAGAGATCAGTGGAGTGGAGGGAAGAGGGGGGTGGGGGTGGGAGTGGAGAAGTGCTGGGGATTGAATTGGCACAGGTTGAGTTCCAAACCTCTGTGATAATGTCAAGGTGTTTCCTGTATACTGTATAACTAAAAAGAATAAATAAAAACTAAAATAAACTATAGTATCAATCCCCACTTTGCAAATAAAAAGAGAGATAAAAATAATTTGCCCACCATGGTTACACAGCAACTAATTGTTAGAACACCAGATTAGGACTCAGAAGATTCAATTCTAGATCCCATATATTTAATGAAGGGCTAGAGAAAAGACTGACAAGAAGAATGAAATATCAACTGCTATTTAAACTAATCCACCACCAGCATCATTATATATATTTATCCCACTCTTACTAGTTCAAAAGTTTATCTATATCCACTGACCAGATCATAAATTTCCAAAGTCTTTTAACCATCTTCAACATTACAAATATCATCTGTCATCCCTGGCAGATAATTGTGCACACACAACCTTACTTTTGATAAGTTTGATAATAATCATAATAATAACTATCATTTACTATGTGCAATGTTTTACTAAATTATTAATTATAATTGACATCAACCCATGAGATACATAAAATCATCTCATTCTACAGAAAAGGAAACTGAGGCACAGAGAAGTTAAATAACTTGTCCAAAGTCGTGTACTTGGTGACAGCTAAGATTTGAATCTAGCCAGGCAGCATTTGAAAATCCATACTGTTTTATTCTGCTTTAAGTATATTAACAACTTACTCTGAAAAGTCATTGAATCTGTGTTATTCTGTTTGCTTTAACATTTGGCGCCTAAAACTTCACTCTGCAAACAGTAAGTATATTTCACATCTCTCTAAGGTATAATAAAATAAAAATTTGTCAAGCTTACTTCATCTGGTAAACATCTCATTAATACCATAATAAAAATATAAAGTCCTGAATAACTCTTGCACCTCTTTGTTTAGTGTCTGCTTTCTACAGAATTACTAAAGAATTACCTCAAAGTTCTTGGGCTGAAAAAGAGGTCTGAAATAACAGCGATTCTATTTTTCTAGGAGTGGGTAAGGGGAGATGTGTTTAGGAACCTTCTCCTCCTCCTTAAAAGAATCCTAAAAACAGGAGTAAATTACCCAAAAAAGGGGGGGGGGGACTTGTAAAGGTCTAATTACAGTATTCCACTACTAAATGCAGGAGTGGTAACATCATTCTCAAGCAATTTCTCGCCTGCCCTCGAGGTATTCGGAGACTCGTCTTTAGGTTCTGTAAGATAGTCAACAGCTATTGTAACCTTGGCTCCCCTTCAATCCCTTCCCCAGCAGCCCAGGATCCTCCGGGGTGCAATTCTGAGTTGGGGCGCAATTCTGAATGGAGCTTCAACGCGTCTGGACAGGAGTCCGCCGTGGCGTCCCCTCAGACTGCCGTTTCCAGGCAACCACGCGCGGGCCAGAAGCAGTTGTGCATCCTACTGGGTCACCTATTTAAGAGTCCCCAGGGGAAGCTCCAGCAATTCCGGGACATCGGTTTACCCGAAACCCCTCGGTGCTGCAGCGCCCCCGTAACCCGATGTTTGGTCTGCGCCAGCCACTCTCACCTCCCAATCCCCAGTTGTCCGCCTTGTCTCCCATCTAGTCACTTCGCACTTTGGGCGTCTTTACTCAGATGGACATACTAGAAGTCTACTCTCCCGAAGAAACAAAGACAAATCATTATAGGCACACATCCCATAGAGCACAGATTCCTGGGAATTGTAGTTCTTTCGGCTAGCGTGTGATGAGTCTTTAAGAAAAAAAAGAACTACAATACCCAGAAATCAAATGGCGGAGAGTCCATCTCTAAAATATGTCCCAAATACTTGGCTTGAATTCGGTAGGAATGTTCTGTGGCTCTTTCCGTACCTAACTCCCTGAATTTTGCTAACTGGGTCCCAGGGCAAGTTTGTGAGAGGATTTTGTTTTTTAACAAGTTTTTTGCATGTGAATGAGTCTCAACAGTGATATATATGAAAAGATATTTTAAGTCATTTTATCTTTTAATTCTTTCAGAGAAAAGTTCTACCCACAATCAGAAAATGTCACTGCAGATGATAACAATCAGTAATAATATAGCCTTAATTCAACCAGGCTTCTCACTGATGAATTTTGATGGACAAATTTTCTTCTTTGGCCAGAAAGGCTGGCCTAAGAGATCCTGCCCTACTGGAGTTTTCCATTTTGACATAAAGCATAACCATCTCAAACTGAAGCCTGCAATTTTCTCTAAGGATTCCTGTTACCTTCCTCCTCTTCGCTACCCAGCCATCTGCACATTCAAAGGAAGCTTGGAGTCTGAAAAGCAATATATCATTCATGGAGGGAAAACACCAAACAATGAGCTTTCAGATAAGATTTATTTCATGTCTGTTGTTTGCAAGAACAACAAAAAAGTTACTTTCCGCTGCACAGAGAAAGACTTGGTGGGAGATGTTCCTGAAGCCAGATATGGTCATTCCATTGATGTGGTATATAGTCGAGGCAAAAGCATGGGTGTTCTCTTTGGAGGACGCTCATACATGCCTTCCACCCAAAGAACCACAGAAAAATGGAATAGTGTAACTGACTGCCTGCCCCATATTTACTTGGTGGATTTTGAATTTGGATGTGCTACATCATACATTCTTCCAGAACTTCAGGATGGGCTGTCTTTTCATGTCTCTATTGCCAAAAATGATACCATTTATATTTTAGGAGGACATTCTCTTGTCAATAACATCCGCCCTGCCAACCTGTACAGAATAAAGGTTGATCTTCCCTTAGGTAGCCCAGCTGTGAATTGCACAGTCTTGCCGGGAGGAATCTCTGTCTCCAGTGCAATTCTGACTCAAATTAACAGTGATGAATTCATTATTGTTGGTGGCTATCAGTTTGACAATCAAAAGAGAATGGTCTGCAACATTATCTCTTTAGAGGATAGCAAGATAGAGATTCGTGAGATGGAGACCCCAGATTGGACCTCAGATATTAAGCACAGCAAGATATGGTTTGGAAGTAACATGGGAAACGGAACAGTTTTTCTTGGCATACCAGGAGACAATAAACAGGCTGTTTCTGATGCATTCTATTTTTATATGTTAAGATGCTCTGAAGATGATGTGAATGAAGATCAGAAAACATTCACAAACAGTCAGACATCAACAGAAGATCCAGGAGACTCCACTCCCTTTGAAGATTCAGAAGAATTTTGTTTCAGTGCAGAAGCAAATAGCTTTGATGGTGATGATGAATTTGACACCTATAATGAAGATGATGAGGAAGATGAGTCTGTGACAGGCTACTGGATAACATGCTGCCCTACGTGTGATGTGGATATCAACACGTGGGTACCATTTTATTCAACTGAGCTCAATAAACCTGCCATGATCTACTGTTCTCATGGAGATGGGCACTGGGTCCATGCCCAGTGCATGGATCTGGCCGAACGTACACTCATCCATCTGTCAAAAGGAAGCAGTAAGTATTACTGCAATGAGCATGTGGAGATTGCAAGAGCTCTACAAACTCCGAAAAGAGCCCTACCCTTACAAAAGCCTCCAATGAAATCTCTCCGCAAAAAAGGTTCTGGGAAAGTTTTGACTCCTGCCAAGAAATCTTTTCTTAGAAGGTTGTTTGATTAGTTTGGAGGGAGGGGGAGACCTTTAAGATTCAAGAACATTTGTTGCATTTATTTTAACAATGAGAAAAATATTTCAATTTTAATTGAAAATGCTTATTTTCTTTTAGATATGTGAGTTGTTAGAGGTCTAACACAATGCTAAATACTGTTCTCCCAAAGCCTAAACATTTTTAAAATATTTGACTCAAATATCTGAAATGAGAATTTTTATCTGATATTTTCATTCAAGAAATATTAAACACAAAAACGGTAGTGATAATCAAAGTATGTTTATATTCCTTGTATTATTTTGGTAACAACCTAGAGAATAGTTGAGACAACCTTAACCAATAAAGAAACTAGTAAACAAAAGATTAAATTAATTATTTTGTGCAAGGTATCAACTTGGGAATTAAAACCAAGATCAAGTATTTCCCACACTATTGCTCTTCATATGTCTTTAAGCAGCCCCTTGGATTATGCCCATGAACAGAATGTCTTAGGTAGTCTTGTAATTTTCACTGACATGTGGGAAGAAATAATCTCAAATTTGTTGTATTTCCTTGAAGCATCTGCACGCACTTTCTTCAAAGATCTCCCTCCCTGTTATTTGATACATTGATGATGTGTCAAATACACTCATTGTACCATTGATTTGAAGGCATATTCACCAGAAAAAACAAATCCTCTATTACTAGGATCCTGGGAAAAGAGAGGAATGAGAATACATTGATAAGTGACCACCAAATACATATTATGGAGAATAATAATATTGTTTCCCAAAATAATGAAAGTTTTAAACATTTTATGAAGTTAACAGGAAGCAGATTGCAAACCGGTAAAAAGAAATCTGTGCAAGTTTGTGCCTAGTTAACTTGTGGAGTTTGCTCTCCTTGAATATTATAAAATCTGAGAACTTGGCCAAAATTCAATAAAGTTAAAAGGACTGTTAATTATGACTCTTCGAGACATCAATTGGTAATGAATTTAGAAACAAATGTTTTCCCCGTAGAATATTTTTCTGGAAAAGCATTTAACCTCATCTTAAGGTCTTCAGCTTTAGTCTCTTATTCATCATTCTTCAGAATCCACAGTTCTTAAGGTAATATTTTCCAAACATGAACTATACAGGAGATGAAGTTCTGTTAATACTTGCATGTCTCAGATACTGGAATTAACTTTAATAAACCAAATCATGTTCATTTTCTTTCAGTAATGTTGCTTGATGAATATTGCCATTGAACAATTGTTTGTACCATTGATTTGATTTCTTATTTCTATCTCTATGTAAAAATAATGAAACATAGAAATTCTCTGTTTCTATTGATGTACTCAAATAATTAACATTTATAGTTACCCAAATAAAGGCAAGATTAAAAAACTTAATCTTAAAATGTTTCAGAATCATTTTACCTTGATTTATTTTCTTTTTGTTTGTGGGAAACAGCATAAATTGAAGCTGAAATATCCTTTACAGATAGATCACCTTATCTTGATCTGTCCACAGTGACTCAACAATTAAAGAATTATTATCCCCATATTTGTTTTATAGTTGATGAGATCAAGATATGACAACCAATTCTGAATTCATTGAGTTCTATACTCAAACTCAGATCTCACCAGTAAACTGTGTGTGTGTGTGCGTGTGTGTGTGTGTGTGTGTGTGTGTGTAGAACAAGCAGTAGGACTCTACAAATAAAAATAGGCCTTTTTTAAGCCATCACCAATGAGCCCATCAGATGTGACCTTAAGATAATGAGGCTACTTCTTATAACCATATGCATTCAAATGAATCACTTTAGAAGTTAACACACTTATTCCAACATTGCTTTTGTCCCTTATATTTTGGGAGTTCACATTCAATCTCTTTCAGAATCTGTAGTTCACTCCATTGAAGATGTTTGATAATTGTCCCTCTGCCTCTCAGAGCTGAATTTAATTTCTGGAAACAGTCAAATGTCATTCAGAGCCTAATAGTGTGTAACTCTCAGTATTATATTGCCACTTCAAATAAAAAACAAAATGTGAATACAAGCTAACACAATGGGTTTTCAGATATGGGTCATAGATGGGTTCTAAAGTTAAGTCCAGAAATTGCACAAGAATGAAAGTGTAGTATCAAAAAAATAAGTATATGGCTTCCTGAGGTGATTATTTTGTGGGATTATAAATATCTGCAAATACAACTGAGTGGCCAAATAAATATTGAATGAATGAATGATGAATGACTGAGGGAATATCCTTCAAATTGTAATGCTAATATCTTCATTCAACCCTGAGGCACAAACTTTTGAAACACAAACCCAATATTTAAAAAAGTAGGAGGAAGACAAATCAAGTACTATCTCACAATGTTATACTACTCTGTCCACCGTTCCCTCCTTGCTACTGCTACAGCACCTTGTCATGATTTCTGCTGTTACAGCTAAACCAGCAAAAGTACTTATTACTAAGTATGTAAGTGTCTGACTCTTCCAACCAACTATAAGTTCCATGAAGACTAGAACAAAATCTTTGTAATTTCTATATATGGAGTGCTTAACCTAATACCTGTCATGTTGGAGACATTCAAATTGTTCTTGAGCTGAACTGAATTAAATGTCTCAGTGAGTTCCATTTGTCTCCCATAGAAGGTAACCAAAGTGTCCTATGCTTTAGCATAAGGTACTGAATGCTTGGTTATATTTGTTATACTAATTACCTATTACTTATCTTTTCTTCCTCTAGACTCTGAACTCCATCACAGCAGAGATATTATTGGTTTATTCATTATTTAACCTCTAGTATCTAGCAGAAAAGAAAGAAAATAAATTAAAACAATTAAAGAAGCCAAGGATATGAGCAGAAATGAAATCAACAAACCTCTCTCTAATTGACTGCATAGGGAAGAGTAGGAAATTAGTATTAATCAGGATGATTAACACTCACTACTAGAAAAAAAATCAAACTATTCCATAAGTTGTCACAGTCAAGGTTTATTTCTTGTTCATGAAAAACTTCATGCAGGAGTTTTTATCAAGCTATCTTCCTGAGCAGCTGACTCTCCTCCAAGATGCATCTCAAGGATGTAGGCTTTTTTTTTCTATTAGGTGACTCTGCTATCTTTATCTCCATCGTGTTTCCTGAAGACTTCAGATACAAAGAAAAGAAAAAGAAAACATGGAAAAGGTATAGCCATTTGTAAATACTTCAGTGTGGAGGTGAGACTCCATTTCCTCTGATATTCCATTGACAAAAATTAGTCACGTGGCCCCTATGAGATGCAAGTAGTCTGGGTTCTAGTTATATGTCCACAAAGGAAAATGTGTTTGGTGAGTATCTCACCTGTATTCTGTATACTGTATATTTAATAAGAAATATAAATAGCTTTTTCTTTTATTTGGTGGGGGTGCTTGGGATTGAACCCAGAGGCACTTTACCACAGAACAAAAACCCCAAATCTTTTGTTTATCTTTTATTTTTGAGACAGGATCTCACTAAGTTGCTTAGGACCTCATTAAGTTGCTGAGGCTGACCTCAAATTTACAATCCTCCTGCCTCAGCATCCCAAGTCGCTGTGATTACAGGCATGCACCACCATACCAAGCTAAGTATTAATGTCTTTGTTAAACTAGAAATAAGACTACATTCTCTATAAATACATTGCCAGTGCCCTAATAGTGTGTAACTCTCAGTATTATATTGCCACTTCAAATAAAAAACAAAATGTGAATACAAGCTAACACAATGGGTTTTCAGATATGGGTCATATGGCCCTTATTACCATTCACTCACACTATTCTGTCTCCCAATGATCCTCCTGCCTCCACCCAGTCCCCCTCCAATCCTCTGACTCTTCTGAGAGCACAGCAATCATTCAGAAACAAAAATGGATATTTCTTTTATTCCTCATTTTCTTTAGGGAAAAGTCCAGATACGTCAGTATGGCATGCCATGATTCTCTTCACCTATCCTCCCTTCCCCCACACCCCCTTTGAACCTGATTCTCCATCAACACTGAACATCCTCCAAAGGAAAATCCTTCCCCCAGTGAATAACTACCATCTCGATGTTTTCTATGAAGATTTCAGCCTAAACAAAGTGGAACACTCCATTTCCTACCCAAGCTGTCTCTTTTGGCACCTGTCAACTTATATGACATTTATTTATGTCTGCCTTTTCTATTTCAGAGTGGCAACTGTTTCCTTTTTAACTTTGTGTCCTTAATGAAAAAATAGTTGCTCATTACATACTCATTGGATTGAGTTAAGCTCATTATATGTAGGCTTAAATAAACTCACTTCTGCAGTTGTAGTCTCATTTTTTCTGATTCTTTAATAAATGACAGATTATAAATTCTTGTTCTGACTGTGAAATTACAGTCAGAACTTGGAAACTAAAAATAAATAAATAAAAGTACAGCAGAATTCACAGAAGGAAATGAAATCTTGGGTTAAATTCATTTTTCTTTCTTATGAAAAGAGTTCAGAGGGATTAGAATGGATATTACAGTAAGTTTAGATAGAATGGGCAGCCACTGGGATCCACAGTGACAGGAATTACAAATTGCTCATATACCCCCAAACACGGCCCTACTACGGAGCATTGACTAGGAATTTATCATAGATGACTGACATCGCATCTTCCCAAACCTCCTCCTTCCAGGAACATCTGATATGGCGCACTCATTTCTAAGAGAACTAAGCTTTTACTTGTCTTCAGCTATTGATCCAACAAATACTTATTCAATCAAATCGTAATTTGTGAGAATAAGAAGGAAAAGTTATCAATAGTTTTTCTCTTAAAAGGCTGATAACTGTGTGCAGTTTGGGAACAGATACCCTGAATCTATGGATCAGTTTCTCTCTGAGTTTTCTTTAAAGTGTCTGTCAGTGAGCATTTATTAAAATTTCAAGATCTGCATGAAGTATTATAGGACCTGCAAAAGAAACATGAAACAGGAGCCTCATCTTTAGGAAACTTGTAACCTCCTAATAGAAAGAAGCCCAGGCAGGACAGGAGAGTTATAGAACATAAAATAATACACTTGAAGCAATTAGCTAGCCAATGTGGTGCAGGCTATTCATTTACAAACTGCCTTTTTTCAACCTGGAATATACTGGTAAAACTACAAAACTGGGCCAAATATCTCTAAATGTTCTTTGTTATGTTGACCTCTACAGAAGTGTTGCTGTGACCAAGATAACAGAAAATGAAGACTAGATTTTTTTTAAATGCCACACAAAATGAATAATGATAACTCAAAAGAGGAAGGTTTTGTGTGTATGCAACAGATGGATAAATCATTGACCTTGAACCACACAAAAAAAAGCATGCACTT